AGTTGAGAATTCCCCGGTCATCTTGACCGTTATGAATCATAGAAAATTCAGTTGGTTCCAATGAACTCGTGGATGTATCGAACGTAAGAGCGAAGAGGCGAGCGAACGCGCGTCAGTCATCCGTGGAAAAACTGTGGCACAAAGGCGCGTGCTCTCTGGTCAGGAAGAAAGCGCAATCTTTGATAAAACACAATTGACCGACGATCCCTGGAACAATAACCGGACAAAGGCGACGGACTGCCTTTTCCATCCGGTTATGTTCACATTGCGTGCCTTTCCTGTCCCATTTCTATCTCCGCGAGATAAGAATCTGGTTCAGTTTTTTAATAGGGACCGACTCAATGAACGCGTAAAAAGACGAGAAGAAAAAAATCAAATTGGACCAGACTCCGAGAAGCTTAGAGAAAAAGACTTGGCCCTCGTCAGACGTTTATTATCCCTATCACCGTTGATTAATATACAGCCACGAGATAAAAGCGTTCGAGAAGGCGATTATACTCGCCCCGTTAAAAAAAAGGTATCAATCTTTGAGAAGCGATAACTTAGATAAACCTCGAACAAGTCACAGTTCCCGAGGAGCCTATATTACTAAACTTGCGTAGAAGAAAAAGGTACGCTGTGAAAGAGAAACGGGGGAGAAAATTCTAAAATATCCTCGTAAACCTTTCCAACCCTCGATGAGGTATACACTATATAGATCTCTTCTAAATCCTCTTCCAAGGAACACCATTTCGGTGTACCTTTTTCTCATAACTCAAAAATCGAAACGCGATCGAAGGCGTTTGGTGAAGGAAGGGAGCGGAAGGGATGGACGGAACTCGAAACGTGGCACGCGGCGACTTATCTCAGCGCGTATACAGAGATCGGAAACATCGTACCTACGGCCGGTGAATCACTCCGCTATTGTCCGAGGGAGGAACAGAGAGACAGGGAAAAAACCAGGGTGAAAAGATAGGCAAGAACGTGTGCACAGTCGGTCGCGTTCGCTGAGTCTAGCCCGGCTACGGCGAAGATAAAGAAACACGGTTGCGAATCACGCCGCGGTGGCGCCTAATGGGCGGCAACAAAAAGGGACACGGTGTGGTCACCACACCGCACCGGCATCGGGGAATTCCCCTCCGAAGGGGACGCGCTGCCCCCCACCACGCGGCCCTCTCGACTCCCACTCGATTAGCGTCGGACGAGTTCGGGCGCGCTCGGTGATCTCCGCGTCATTGCTGGACCCGCCACGCCGGAGATCGCGCAGTGCCGTATTTGAGAAGGGGCGTCCCCCGTTTTGGGATCGTCTCTTATCGTCTGGTGAACCACGATCTTTTGCACCCTGAACAGAAACGCTTTAGGAATTGACAAATTTTCCGAAGGAAGTTACACGTTTACGGGGATTGAAAAATTTATTTTTGGAATCTTTTTTTTTGTGCTTTGTAACGTTATCGATAGCTTTTGTAAGGGATACTTGTGATAGTTTTTTTCTTGTGATTTTAAAATGTGGAGAGTGTGGGTAATTGGAGGAATTCTTGCGACTCTGAGGATGCTATTGAGATGCTGGTAGAACAAGGAGGTTGAACTGGTGAGATACCAAGAAATTCAACACCTCGAGACGAGACCTTTGGGAGAGAGGGTCGACAACTATTGCCTCTAATTGCCAGTACTCGTTGAATGGAGATGGTCCGGCTATGCTTTCGCTGGTATATAAGTCTGACTTTAAACGATCGCAGCCCGACGCTTCTCGTTTAACACTTGGACACGAGAAAATTGTGTACGATGTTCCAGTCACACTTGTAACGGTGAACCACGATCTTTTGCACCCTGAACAGAAACGCTTTAGGAATTGACAAATTTTCCGAAGAAAGTTACACGTTTACGGGGATTGAGAAATTTATTTTTGGAATCTTTTTTTTTTGTGCTTTGTAACGTTATCGATAGCTTTTGTAAGGGATACTTGTGATAGTTTTTTTTTGTGATTTTAAAATGTGGAGAGTGTGGGTAATTGGAGGAATTCTTGCGACTCTGAGGATGCTATTGAGATGCTGGTAGAACAAGGAGGTTGAACTGGTGAGATACCAAGAAATTCAACACCTCGAGACGAGACCTTTGGGAGAGAGGGTCGACAACTATTGCCTCTAATTGCCAGTACTCGTTGAATGGAGATGGTCCGGCTATGCTTTCGCTGGTATATAAGTCTGACTTTAAACGATCGCAGCCCGACGCTTCTCGTTTAACACTTGGACACGAGAAAATTGTGTACGATGTTCCAGTCACACTTGTAATCGATCATCGGATATTACAATTACATAGTTCCCACCGTTTAAACTGTCAATTCTATAAAATGAAAAAAAAAAACAATTTCGAAACACGCGCGTGACGGACAAACACGAATCGTTCATTCGTAGCATTTTTTCTAAGCCCAGTTCCAATCGTCGCCTCGAGGGCGAAGTACACACGACACATACGTATGTTTATTCTTCCATGTGACTCGAGCCTGAAATAGATGTATGACCATCTCACAAATTAATTTCGCGGACAATTCTCTCCTCGTATGTGAATCAACGTTTCTACTCATCAGAGGAGATTCAGTCGGACCTTTCGCCGCTTTCAAAGCGGCCAACATGACGCTAAATAATTGCCGGATTTCTTGTAACCCGATACGCAGGTTCGAGACTGTGATAGATGACTTTTCAAAATAATATATCGCGCCCAGTCGCCTCGGTTTCTCCGTCAAACAATAAGTTCCGTATTAGAAGGTTTCGGAGTATGGACCGATTCGTGTAAACTTTCACATTTGATCGAATTCAATGAGAAATAACCTGTACTAATTTGCAAATCGATCGATCCACGGCGTCTAACGACGTTCGAGATCTATACGCACGCTTTCATCGAACGGTGCACGTATACACGCGTATCTGGCTCTAAATAATCGTCGGATAGCTGTGTCGCTTAAACGACGCAGCGTGCCTCCCGTCTCTTTCGGACATTGTTTCGAAGCGGTCCTTCCCTTTCATTCAGTAATTCGCAGGCAGCTGCACACTAATAATAGTATCGGACACTGCCGCCACTGCTTGCCGTCTCTGCTTTCGTCGCGGCTGTGCGTACATTAGCCGTCAATATCGTCGTTTCCGACGATAAGCTACCTTGCCTCGCCGCGCTAGGTTAACTTCGCTTTCCTGCTTCCTCTCTTTCCCGCGGCACCGCGTTTATCCGGCGTTTACTCGAAGGAAATAGTGATCCGGAAACGGGGCCAAACTGTACAAAGTCGAACGTCGACATATAAGTCGACAAATTTCGATCTCGAATTGATTATTGGCTGGATATGTTTGCAGCGTTGTTAGTACATTGACTGAAGGTGACGGTATATACATACGTGATCCATTTATTGGATAATATGTGAGATCGATGTACTTTCGTAATTATACGATTGTTTATCGTGCGTTACTATTCTTACTAGGAAAAAGATGATCGAATGGAAAATTTCGCTGATACCGATACGTCGACGCGACGTAGGTTGCATTGCGAATAAGAGCCTCTTGTCTACTTCGTACGTATTACATACCTCACGGCGGTGAAAAGTCAAGGGAATCGACGAAGATAACCGCACGCGCTACCGAACGTTATCTTGTTTCCCCTCCGAGAGCGAGTCCGAGGTATTCGAATCGTGGTTGCAAAATACCTCGGGACATTTATAAACACTACGAAATTATACGTAACTGTTCTATTGACAAGTTAGAAATCTATTCGACCAACATCTTCGACGAAAAAATAAAAAGAACGAAAAACATTTCCTCTCACCGAAAGATATTTTCCTATTTTATCATCTTCATTATTCTCGAAAGCTGTTTCTGTCTACGAAATTGCCTATGGGAATTTATTTTGACGTGGATACACTTGATAGCAACAATTTCGTGGATTTACACTCTCCCATTCGGGTTGTATATTTCACTGGAATATATTTTCGAGGATGCGCATAGGACACGTGAAGAGGAAGCCAAGCAGAAGTAAATAGAATATCGGCGCAGCAGGCATCCTTCCTTTCGGCAGATAAATAACGAGGCAATCACGTCCGTGAGCCAATGAGCCGAAAGATACCGAGTTTCCGGTGAACGAATGCGTCACGATAAGACACTCCGCTGCGATCCATAAACCGCTATATTAGTGCAAACAAACATGACGCGACCCATGTTCCTTGCAGCAACCCTCTTTGTGTCGTCGTGTTGGCGTCATCTCGCGAAACCGTGTAGAATCGATAGTACGGGGCGCCGCGGCTGGCCGACTACGCTCCTGACCTTGATTGCGGCCAACGCACACGCCGAGATGCGACGCAGGTAGGGGATGTGGCGACGACACGGGTAGACGAATATATAGTACGCACGAATCGCTCGAGGATAACATCTCGTAGAGCCCAGGAAAGGCTAGCCAGACCTGTATGGAGAGCAAGAGGAAGAGGAGGAGAGATGTAGAGAGAAGTGTATAGAGTGGGAGAGAAAGGGGGTAAGTTGGGTGTCGCGAAGAGGGGGGTTCCAGCGTGTCCGTCATAACGCATAGAGGGGAGAATAGGAGAACGGTTGGAACGGTTACGGGGAGAAGCAGAGAGTGGACGAACAAGGCAAGGGAAACGAAGAGAGAGAGAAGAAGCATGGGGGCGGTGGCTGCTCTGCTACGGCCGCCATCACCATCCGTCCCATCCTATAGTAAACTCCGAAGCAGCAGTCCCCAATCTGTCTCCATGTGTGTTAGTTAGGACCGTGTTTTACCGGTGCTTGCTACTCCAAGCTGGTAGTAACACCGACATTTCTGTCTTGCCCGCTCTCTGCGATGCCCTAGCATCAGCTCCCGATACCGTCGCACTTCCCTCGTTCCTTTCTTCTCTCCGTCTTTTTCCCGCTATATTCTTTCCCTCCGATCTGTCTCCTTAAGTGTGTGTGTGTGTGTATGTTGCCTCCGTGCGTGCGAAAACGCGTACGCGAATGAAAAGAATCGGTGGAAAAGGAGAAGGTGGCGGAGGAGGAGGCGGCAGAAGAAGAAGAGCAGCGTATCACTTTCTGCACGACTCGTTTCCAAGGATATAACCGGTGCGCGCTGTCTTCCTCTCGTTTTCGACGTTCCTTTCGTTTATCCCGATTCACCGGAGAGTGTATAGTGTGATTAGTTGGGAAGTCGCCAGTGCTTCGCACCACATCGTAAATTCGTTTCTCGATATATGCACACCTTGTTGTTTCAAACATCGACCGATCCTTCGAAGAACCGAACGAGAAGAAACGGACCGTGATACGAGAAGATTACCAACGGAAGGTTCTTTGTGCGAACACGAATCAAACGAATGTACATACATGCAACGAGCAGGCTGTACCTTAGGATGTGAAAGAAGAAACGAAATTTAATTACCCGCTTTTTTTCGTTCGAAGAAATTCTCCGAGCCTTCAAGATTCCCTTGCAATCATCAGCCTTTATAACGTATACGACGAGAAACGCACGTCGAAAATCCAACGAACCCGAGACGCGTCCCACCCAATCGGTCCTCTCGAATCATCGTCGTGGAATCGTCACTTATCGGACAAGGGGAACGAAGGAACGGACGAACTATCCGTGGACCTCAGCGCTGCCGCCCGCTGGAATTTCTCCTGTCGTCGTCTGCACATAACCTCTCTCCCTCGCCTCTTGGTCGTTCACTTTCTATCTCTCTCCGTTCACAACCTCTCACCTCTCTGTCCCTGTTATCGTTCTATCTCTCCTTCTTCGTCTCCCTCGTCTCCAACACTCGGATCGTTCGTCTATTTCGCATCGAAGAGAAGAAGAAACGTGATCAACATTCCCGTGTTTCGTTGAACTCGTTGTGCGCGCGAGTGACACGGCCGCTTTTAATGATCGCGACCACGACAAATGCTGCTCGTTCGTGTTGCTCGATGAGCCGTTCGCCGCCGCGTGGATATCCGGAGTCGAGAGTCGATCATCGGTGATCGAGAGAAGCAACGGTGACACTCGCACGATCCCGGCGTTACGAAGCGCAGCCGGTTGTCAGTCTACGTAACCTAGAAGCGAACGAGGAAAGAACGAAGAGAGAGAGAGAGGTGACGATGAATACGCCGCCGCGCACTGGAACGTTGGTGGACGTGAAATAAATATATTCGAGAAGCTGTCGTGCCGAACGCAACGCGCACTGGCCATTTTTCTCCGGCGGCCGATTAAACTGTTGCACGAACGTACGTTGAGGCCCGTATTTCGTATCTATGCTCCCCGACGCGAGAATAGCCGGTTATCGTTGCTTCGTACCGGCCACGTATTTATCGAACGATTCCACGGAGAAACGGGGAGCAAGCAGAGTGCAACCATGCGTCGCTGTACCTTGAAACGTCACAGATCACGCTGGACGAACTCTTGAGCGGGATCGCAAGACGCGCGCTGCGGCTACCACCGAAGCATTCAACCTGGCGGAATCGTCGAAGAAACGGAAGACGTACCTCGGGGAGCACTGGCTCACGCTCACGCGAATATGAGCATGACTCTCGTCCGGAATACGTTCAAAGGTAAGCTTTCTTTTCCCTTTCATAACCTATACGCGCGTGCAAAACACGTTTCGTTTTTCGCGGTTCACCACGGTGGTCGCAACTGCGCACTAACTATTGGCCAAACCGTTAATTGTTCGAATATATCCTGAACATTATCAGATGAAGATATTTCATTACCTTGTTTCCTCTGTGAAGAACAAAGTGGTTAACAACAATTACACGTCACATTCTTTTCTACCGTTGAAGTGTGGAAAAGTGTAGCTTTATTTTTACAACGCGATACAGTGTATTGTCACGGTAAAGAGTATATGTAAAACGCGTCAATGGTTAAATGTTGTACTTTGACCGTATGATTACACTTAGAAACGTAACGATACGTCTGCCTCGCTATGACGTTGACGTTAGATTGTGTTCTATCGATTTTCCGTTGACGATAGAATTGCTCATTTAAGAATTCATAAAGTCGAAAGCGTTTACACGTGATTTCTGCGTGTGTGTCCTACTAAATACGCCTGCTTATGCTCGCGCGAGCGCTCAACCGTAGCCGAATGCGCGTTATGTGTTTAACACACGCGTGCGTTCTACGCATGCGTCGTGGATTCGTGAAAACATCGCCTATTTTTCGGTGGAGCGACGTGTAACATCCAATCACGATACGACCGTTCACATAAATTTTATCAAACCAACCGATATATTCTTCAATTAAATTCATTTCAATTTTCACGAAACAATACGGTAACCAAACATATACTTATTTTTACGAAATTCGTCACGCGATAAGCGGTTGTTACACATGTACGTACAACCCACGAGCAAAAAGGTAGACTGAATTGAAACACTTTGTTATCGATAAATTACACAATTTATTCTTCAATAAAACTCCAGCGTGTCACGTGTGGCCCATTGTTTAACGGATAACTTCCGAGATCTTGTAAACATTTCGCAGAACCGCGCGTTGTCAAAGAAACGCGCTCTTTCGACGCCAGATCTTGGCGCGTGTGCATCTTAACCTTAACGCGACCACGCCGGAGATTTATTAACGAGATTTACTGGATTTCGCAACTTCGCGTTTATCCGCGAACATTTTTTATCGCACACGAACGTACTGGCGTCGCGTCACCTAACGACAAGACCCGACGCGACGGTTTTTCGTGATTCACGGCCGGTAGAGTCTGCCTGCGTTTGGCTGAACTTTAGACCCGACACGTACTACTTTCGTGGCGCGGATGTGCCAAATGAATTCAGATGTGCGGCATACGGTGCGCGACGGCTGTTTCGTCTCGAGCCTCGTGCACGCGATTTTTCGCCCCTAAAAATCGCTCGGTACTTCGAGACACGGCGACTTTTACCCACCCACTTTCATAGAATAGCGCCTTGAACAAATGGAACAAAGTTTCGATTCAACGTTTCCAGTTAAAAGTTTCGCGCGCATAAGCGTAGCCACTGGAGGGGGTATTGGGATTGTTATCTCTGTAGGAATAGGACCAGAAGTTTCAAATTGAAATAAAATTACCTTTATACATCGAACGTACAAAGAACAATATTTACAACGAATAATTTCGTAGGTATTTCGTTTAAATAAATGTTCGTTTAAACGTTGTTTATTGAAAATCTCTTTCACGTGTGAACGCAGGATTCGAATATTTATATTCGATTATTTCTACACAAAAAGATCTGAACTTCGTTCAGCCGGAAACTTTTAGCGTGCAGATGTAGAGCAGAATACTTAAATAATTATCTGTGCAACAAAGAACGCCAAGCTTTGTGCAAACACGGTCTCGTTTAAACTTCTACATACATAGGCACACCGATGTAGAACAGAATATCTTAACCATTTATTTCTGGCACAAAGGGCTTGTACAATGCTTCAAACGTTACTCTTGAACTTGCAGTAGAATTCATCCGTACCTGACGGACCAAAATCGTAGTTCGGTAAATCGGTAACATTAATTCTACTTCTCTGTGCGGATTTTAGTGCGTAACACACGTAAGAAATATTTCCAAGTTAAAATTCAAGTAAATTTCTTTCAAATTTCTTCAGACATGAAGGATTAAAAATTTTCAAAGCTCCTATAGGCGCCAACAGCGGTGGAAGGGTTAATACTCGATAAAAATGAACAAAATCTCTGTCAATTTGCAAATTTTTTTCACATAAACCACAGTTTGAAAAATGACAATTTTCATTCTTTAATCCATGTGCAGACCAAAATCCCAATTCGAGCGTATCAGTAGGAAAAATGTCTCTTTCGTGGCGTTTTGCCAACGAGTCGAAAGTCACGACAGAATTTCCTCCGCGTGGCTGGCCAATTTACACGAGTTTACAAACGATATCGGTAATCGGACGAGGTTTTCGGTTCTCGTCCGCCGAGAGTAATCCTGTACTCGAGGAGACTCCGAGATCTCCGTCGCGTGGTTTGCCTCGCGAATTAGCTTGTCCGGTACACAACGATTATGGGGCAACGCAGCTCTGTCGACGTCTTGCGAAAATATTTACCGATTCGCCCGCGCGGAAGCTCTATTTTTGAGGGCGAACCGGATAGAGAGGAAGGCGCGTGTGGACGCGTCGCGTCTCCGCCGAAAAGATTCACCATTCCAGCGACGGCCATTCAATCGATTCCCGGCGCTCTCGATGAATCGAGACCGTAACACGCGCGTACTCATCGCCAATCTGCTCTCGAGTAAATATTTACTCGGCAAGAATGAACAACCGGTTCCCGAGCATTTTCCAAAGTTTTGTCGTCAATTTTGTTTGTTAATCGAAGCCGTGAGTACCAAAAACGGCGCAAGTCCGCCCATGGACGTTTTCAGGAAATATAGTTCTTTTTTTGGTTCACCTTATTCGAATTCTTCTTGTCGTTTCCGCGAGATAAGGTGCCTTTTAATACGAATTTATTTTAGTCGAGGGTTTTGCGACGAGGATTCTGTGGCAGAATAAGTTTGAGAACCACTGATTTATTCATACAGTTTCGTTATTTTTATATTATTAACATTGTCAGATGACGAATTTTTAAAAAAATTAAGAGAAATAGGATCGTTTATATAGAAAGTTTCTACCTGTGTACTGTAATTAACTTTCATAATTCTCGATAATTTTCCTCGATAAAGCGTCCGAAGCACTGATTCAAATCGTTAGAACCATTGATAAAAATCAAAGATAGGAATGTTGCTAAAATAATTGAATTTATCTTACCCTTCCTAAATTATCCTGCCTTTCTAAAATCTCGCTAAAGTGTTATATCGATCCAAGCATTATGTCTCGAACGAATTACGAAGAAATTATGCAGGAGAAAAAAATCCTCGTGTTCGGATCCTCCTAAAAATAGATACGCGAATATTTATAGCTGTGCGATACACCGAAATTATCCGGTGATTTATGTGCGACATGCGTACGGTGAAAAAGTTCTCACCTTTGGATTTCTTCGAATGTAGGATACAATTTGATTATTTATAAACTTCTCGGCGGACAATGCACGCCAAGAGGACAGTATTGGACGCTAAGACGGTGTTGCACAGGTGTAAATCGTGTGTATATCGATCGATTTGCGAAATCTTCGAGCAGACCAGAAATAAATGTCCGTAGACCGGGTTTACTTTTGTCTCTGGTCGTCGTAGTGGCCGTTGCACGAAGAGAAAATACATTGTTCTTGCGTCGACAGATAAGAGGGAGTCGCCGCGGTTCTCTTGCCCATATTCCACGATGAATGACGCTACTGTATCGACGGCAGCACGCGTCCCTATGCAGCTCACTAAGTCATCCGCCCGCGTGTTCCTCGGGCTCCTTTCTCTTCTCCGCTTCCGTTATCTCCCGCTGCGGCCGGTTTATCGCGGTGCCGTCTGTTTCTGTATTTTTCAGCGAAACGCGGGCGAATAATCGAGTTGCACGCGTGAACCGCCGGCGTGATTGCGAAAATGTCCGGTTTCCGCCGCGAACAATGGAAAACGAGAGAGAGAGAGAGAGAGAGAGAGAGAGATCTCTTTCGAGCTTAACCGCCGCAACGTGGTTCCTTGCTCTTTCGCTTGCTTTTCCGTGGACAACGGAAATAGAACTTTTGGCGAAAATATTCGTTGCTGATTTAGATTTATCGACTACTTTTTTGATATTTATTGAGAAAGCAAAATGTCAGGAAGATTCTTGTGAAGTTTGTTAGGGGAAAAAGGATCGTTTCGAAGGAACGGTGAAAGTCAGTTGAATAAGATTGAAACGGCTAGTTTTGCCTGCGTGAGCTCTCTGGGCCAAACTGCACTCTGCTGGAGCAAGTTGCAGCAACATTGTATGAAGTATTTATAGAGACTGTACATTTAACTGTAGTAAATTTAATGCGAACTGTAGAGGCGTGTTATGGTTTTACATAGTGGTTTTTAGAGGGGTTGATATTTACGTCGGTGTTTTAAGGAAAATTTGAATTGATAAAAAACACCTTTGAAATGCTCTTTTTGGTATTTTTCGTATTAATTTATGGTAGAAATTGGTTCCAGAAGTGTGTTGTTGCAGAGTGAAAAATTTTGGATGTTGTTTGAAAGTAGAGATCTCCTTAAAAGTTTTGGAAAGTTCGAGGAAGAAATCGGTATGAATAATGTTGTTCTTGTTGGACTACGTTAAAAGTTCGAGTGCGTTCGGACAGTGTTTGTCGAGATATTGGAAAATTAATAAAAATAAACGTTGTTATTTCTTAGAATCGAGGAAAATCGTAGAATTTTATATTTGGAGACATTTTTTCTTTTTTCTTTTTTTTTTTTTCGAAGAAAGGATAAGAGTAGGTTATTTTATTTATCGCGTGATCGTGTTTCTCGCGAGCTGATATAAAGATTAAAAAAGATATTACAATTTTACTTGGTTTACATAATATTATACTTTTTATCGATTCCTTCGCAGCGTATTAATATTCTGAATCTCCGCGGGATTAAATTGCCCGAGCAAAAAGAAGAAATCGATCGTCCATAACTTACTCTCAATCAACGAGATTGAGGGCTTGCAATAATGTTTGATGGCGTGTTTCATCGAACCAATAAATAATGAA